CCCCCCCCCACTCGTGCCCCCTAGCTACGCTGCTGCAGCAGTTGTTTACATGGGAAGCAAAAAGGGGCGAACTGAAACACGCTGGTCGCCAAGGTAACCTTAATGACGTCATCTCAATCCAGCCCAATATTTTCGACAATTCACTGAAAATTAAGACAATCAGTCGTTTTTAGTTTTTTTATTAGTGATATTGTGTGGGTTCCTTACACGTGCTGTTACATGTGAGCTCTTTCCCCAGTTACATAATCAACTTGTGCTTCTACTTCTATTCATGGTTCCGACTAGGTCAATAGCGAACCAATCACTGCTACAGCAGTTTTAGTCCTAGTGGAGTTAACGTTTTGCGGCCCCACAAACGACTTCACAATATCTGCTTCAAAAAGTACTACAAAGATTTCGAGGCATTTGTCTTTTATTTTCACAGGACAGTATACAAATGAAACAATCTATAGTCAATTTTCCGCGATCCGTGTTTTAAATTATGAGATATTCTAGCTAATTTGTTAAGCTTGTGAGACATAGCAACGGTAACTAAGGGGAGGCAGAACCATGAATGTATTGCAATACTTAGAAAACGAGCCATCTGTACGAATAAATGACCAATGTTATTCAGTTGAAACAAAGTCTCCTGAACACCAACTAAACTGATAAAAGTGATGATGTTAGGAATTGAGGTGGCAGTAAATAAAGATGTGAGGGGGAGAGGGGGATCCAGTAAAAATGGGGAAAGGGCCGGGCAGGGGAAAAAAGAAAAAACAAGGTCGACAGAGAGACCTTGAGCAGAAAATGCAACATTTAGAGTTTTTGTTAGGTCGTTCGCTGTATGCACCAATTCAGACCGCACCGAACGCCCTTTTTGATACCGTTGTCTATTTTGACCTGTAAGAAAACTCTAAATGAATACGTTTAAGTTAGGGTTTGTGAGCAACACTGACCCACCCTTTTTTAGCTAACCATATAGTGGATCAGTCTCTTGGGGTAGTACTCGTGGTGGTGCAATGAGAGGCGGGGAGGGGGGGGGGGGGGGGGGGGGGGGGGGGAGGGAATATCGTGCCTTACTGATAGGGCGGTGTGAATACCAAATCAAGGTTCTCCCCTATATTTTTAACAACTTTGTTATATAATGACAGGCCACGTGCATGCAGCCTGGTGCCATGAAAAACATATGCAATGATCTGGCATAAGTTTTAGAGATGCACTGGGGGAAAAGAAAAAGGTTTTTTGAAATACAGCAAAAAATGTGTCAACGAAGATTCATTCAGCCTTACATGACTACCTGACTAGCTAAAAAAATCCTAACTTTGTTTGTTTGTTGTTGTTTTCTTTGTAGAGGGAACATTGTTGATTATTGAGAAAGCGAGAGGCTCTCGCTCGACTTAATCTTAAATACAGAAAGAAATAAGAATATTTTTCATTAGGCTTTACGAGACCCGTTACATAATGACATGCCACGTGTCCTACGAAAAATATCTGAAAAATATCATAAGTTTTAATGCATGCAAATTCATGAATTAAAACTTATGATATTTTTCAGATATTTTTCGTAGGAAACATTTTTCGTAGGAAACATAGGTACATTTTCAAATAATGAAAATGTACCCTATGAAGATCCAGTTAACATATCTAAGTAAAAAGGTATCGCCGAGCTACGAATTTTTCGTTTCTTGTTTTCTTTGATACTTTGTTTTGTGCATGTTCTTACGTCAGACGTAAAATCTTTGGCGGTAAGTTAAAAGGAATCAAACTACGAGTGGCTAGAAATAAAAGGCAGTTACTTGCTACTTGCCCAAGCCATTATTATTTTGTCTTCAACAGGGAATGGTAGCTGATTCTCATCGACTCCAGTACTGTACATCTCGTAGGTTTTACATAAACTGCAGTTACTTCACTCTATTTGAACAAATTTTCCTGACAAAACAAAACGGGGATTAAAGATGTCTACAGGTAAGTTGAATAGCTTGTGCATTCATAAGTAGAGTCTTATTTATGTCCAAAGAGGATACTTTTATGAGTTTTGTGGAATGCAATATTCGAACTGAATTCCGCGCGTGCGTCAAGGAACAAACTTCGGTTCGCGCCTTTTATTTTCTAAGTGACAATCGAGCAATCTCTTCTTTTCATAACTTCGGAAGGAAGGATGTATTGTTGTTTTATGAATGGGATAATGTGTTCAATCACGAGTTGAACTTCGTCCCGTTTCATTCAACATTTTCTTGAAGATTCACGTGGAAACATCTAGGTTTCCAAATCGATAACTTAGAATCGATGACAATAAGCAAGTAAGATGATTTGGTATTGACCATCTTGTCTATTGTAGTTTATTTTACAAGGTGACACACTTAAAAACAAATCAGAAAAACGTGCTGACTCAGAAAACTAAGAATGACAAAGCTACAAGAAAAAACTTGAAGCAATCAATTTTTTCAACTTCATCTGGTGAAATCGTAAATTTTTCCAGAAGTAATGATTTTCGCCATTTATATACAATTTTATAAATATTGTGTACGATTTTGTCCAAAAAAATATTCTAGAAAGATTTAGGCACTTGAAACACTCGTCTGTTATATAACCAAAATAGAATTGTTTCATTGGTCGTACTATTCATTGGAAACACCCATCTGTTATATAACCAAAATAGAATT